GCTCATCTGCCTTAAACAACTTCTCAGAGAGCTTAAGTTTGGAGACACTGAACAGGCAAATCTCATTTGTGATAATCAAGCAGCTCTGCACATTTCATCAAATCCAGTGTTGCATGAAAGAACCAAGCATATAGAAATAGATTGTCACTTTGTTCGAGAAAAGGTTCTTGCTGGTGAAATTAAAACTAGTTTTGTACCTTCTAATGAGCAATTAGCAGATGTATTTACAAAATCTTTGAGGGATCCTCGAATAGAATTTATACGTAACAAGCTTGGTGCATATGACCTATATGCTCTAGCTTGAGGGGGAGTGTTAGAAATATATCTTTTGTATATCTGTGATTAGTTTTTTCCTTATTTCATTAGGGTTTGTATTAGGTCTGGGCTTAGCCCATTAGAGTGTCTATATATTGTACATTCTTCATCATATCAATACACACAGTTTTATTTTAATGTTCCTATCTTTTCTTGTTATTTAACATAACTTATCTACATTCACTATAGAAACATTAAAGCCTTAATTAAATATTAATTACATTGCAAATGACAACCATTGATTTTCGTCTATCAACGGTTGAGATGAAGAGAAAGACTTATATATATATATAGGGAAAAATGTTTATCCTTTTAAAGGATATAATTTTGTGTCATTTTAGATCCTAGCCATTGAATTTCATCAATCAACGGTTAGGATCTATTGGATTTATTGAGATTATTAATTAATAAATAAGTTTAATTCAATAAATCTTAACCCTTGATTGATGAAAATCAACGGTTAAGATTTAAAATGACACAAAGTTATATCCTTTAAAAGGATAAATATTTTTCTCATATATATATATATATATATATATATATATATATATATATATATGGCAAAATGATTTGTAATGTGACTGCATATAAGCATTGGTGCAGTCACCTAAAAACTACGTCATTTTTTGGTGGGATAAAGGAAGTCCGCGTTCAAAATTAATTGTAGAAAATGAAAATATTATATTTATTTCCGCCTTTGTATGGTTACGATTCCTCATGTTTAATGCTTTATATTTATTTCCACTTTTGTATGGTTATTATTCCCCGAATTTAATACTTTCACATTATAAAACGACGTAGTTTTGTATGACTGCACCAATCATTAGGTGCAATCACTTTACATCCGCTAAACCCTATATATATATGGGTTCACTTTTTCTGCAGTTACTGCAGATAACTTATCTACAGTAAGTCAATACAACGTCGTTTTGGGACGAAAATCATGGTATTTTTGTAATTTTAATTTATTTCAGGGTTATAATAGTCTTTATATTTATAATTTTTTAAGATTTCAATACCAAAACGACGTCGTTTTGGGAATAAATGCAGATAACTTATCTGCATTAACTGCAGAAACATTTTTCCCTATATATATATATAGAGGGAAAAAAGTTTCCGATGTTACTTTAGATAACTTTATCTAATGTTCATCGAAACGACGTCGTTTTGGGGTTGAAAAATTAAAAAAGTAGAGTGATAAAGACTATTATAACCCTGAAATAAATTAAAATTACAAAAATACCATAATTTTCGTCTCAAAACGACGTCGTTTTGATGAACATTAGATAAAGTTATCTAAAGTAACATTAGAAAAAACAAACCCATATATATATATATATATATATATATATATATATATATATATAAACTTAAGTTTAACTTATTTAACAAATTAAATAAGCTAAAAATTTAAACTCATAAACTTATGAGCTAGCTTATTAAGTTAATAATAAATCGAGATATCAATAACTGTGAATATATTAGAGTCAGTTCCAACTTTCAACCGGATTCGTACCTAATATTCATCTTATCCCCATTTTAGGGAGAGAAAAATAATAATTAAATAATCAAAGATAACGAACAGTTTTGTGATAAGATCCATTCTTAAAAAATGAAAAAAATAAATAATAATTGAAGCAAAGCTACTTGTAGGTTGACCACTGAATAAAAACTCCCTCTATATATTGCTATGCTTTTGATGACAAGAGTAGATGCTTGCCAAACCTAATGGTTTGTATTAGGATAGATAGAAAGACCTTTTGTACTCTTCTTAGAACCTTGAATAGTTCTTAAATTTAGCAGGTGACCAACCATCTTACTTTGACTGGAAGAAAATTAGTTGTTTTTCTTTTTCCTTTTCCGATTAGATTTAAGTGAAAGATTTCAATTAAATTATAAATAATAGTTTATATATAAAAAAATGTTATAAGTATATAGGCTATTTTCATGCTTTTCCATTTTATAAACATGAATTAAATTTAATAGGTCTCTCTCTCTCTCTCTCTCTCTCTCTCTTTTGGTTACAACGACAGTATAGAGACTTAAAATGAGGCACTGGTCATATTAGGTATTTGAATATGGAGGCTAAATTTTATGTCAAATTGTATACCCTAATTTCAAAAAATTAAATTACCAAAAGAAGTGCTTTATTTTGTTGTTGTTAATACTTAATCCCATATACAGTACATGCAAGAAGAAAACTAATTTCATAAGTGAACTTTCAAACATTTGGGCCTCAGTTTGTTTTGTCATGGGCCTTTGATCAATGTGTTCCAAAAGTAAGTTTATACTTGGGCCTCAAAGCAAAAAAATGCATGTACGTGCCTATGGATGTTCATTTGCTACACACTGGTAACGAGTGTTCTTGACTTATGACCAGAATACAGAAATGTACACAAGGCCACCTGCTTATGATGTTCATGGAAAATTAAATGTAGCAGACCAAACAAAGGACTTACGTAGGCATAATGTGGGGCCGTGCAAGAGGAGCTCATGGTGGGATAACCGTCAACTATGGGTCAAGTGAGCAGCAACATTAAGTGAGCTCGGAACATCACAATCAAACCTAAAACCGTAAGACGTTAGGTGTATGGGTCCTTCCACTTGTATAGGCTCACTCAATTTATTCTTAATCAATGTGGGACTCTTTCACTCAATTATTCACACTTGAATTCTTCAAGAGATCATGCCTTAAAAATTGGGCAGTTGTTAACTAGTGATTTTTAGAATGATGATATTAGAATCTGATGGATCGTGTGGTTAGGGTCATTTTGACAAAATATAACGAGTCAAATGATAATAGACTAAGCTCTAGATGCTTGTCATGTATCAACTTTTTTTTTCCTCTACTTGTTTATATTTATCCCAAAATGATATGTTCTAAAATCTGAATAAATTGGAAGCAGAAACATACCACAATTCTTATCATATAATGGGCAACCAAGGTTAATTCAGCTCTTGTAAATCACTACCAAATTTGTGGTTGTTTTTGGTCTGCAAGACATATCTGATATACTGGTAGCTGAAAGGGTTGCCACTCTTCAGCTACAATTAGCAACTTAACTTTCCTGCAAGTTATTGTCTCTAGATCTTCTTTGTTGTTTAGCATTGTCTGTTATGTATCTATTATCTGCTTAGTTTCCTTGTGTTATTTGTTTGTGTGTTGCATTTCACTCGTTATCAATAATGGATCTATCAACCTATCATTCAGTGACCAGTGTCTCGATCTGATTTGGAACCTTATCTGTCTAACGTGTTTTAGTAATGAATTGGAGGGAGACGGAGCACAGGAAAAAATCTATTTAGTATTATATTGATAAAAAAAAATAAAGAAATAATAAAAGAAATCACATCAAATGTAAATGAAACAAAACATAAGTAAAAAATACACGGGACTATATACTAGTTGATATTATTAGGTATAAATTTTTTTCATTATAAGCCTTGATTTTTGAAAGAGTTGATCTAAGATATGGTATAAGGGTTTCTGTGATTAAGTAAATAAGAGTTTGATATTTAGTATTGTAAAAGACTAAAAGGGTGCGTTAAATATGAAAATCATTCATGTGATATTACCTAATAATTTCAACTTTAGTATTGTTTCTTAGCCCCCATACTTTGATGACACCATTCTGCAGTCTCTGTTTGTTTTGTAGGGTAATAGCTGTGTTGGTGTTTGTTTTCTCCTCACCGTGTCACACCACCCCCTAAGGCCAAGCCAAAAGAAAGGGATCAGAGTTCTGACATGCATATCTCTTGCATAGTGATAAAACATGGTGGAGTGTGTGCTAATTTTATTCCCAAACTTGTGGTCTTTCGAATCATATTAATTAGCATGCATGATAAAATATCAGAGGGGGCAATTTTACTTGTCCACCAACTTTTATTAAGATTTGGTGTGTCTTCATACCCGGTTGGTTCAAGAGCAGAATGCTATGAACAAAGAAGAAATTGGCATCTAACAATTTGCTTCATGATTGAGATTACAGAAACAAAAAAAAGATTACCAGTTTCACAGCATCAAATAAAAATCTGGGAGAGTCATTAGCTCTAAGATAAATGTGGCACAAACTATAGTGCCTTTCTGGACTTATAGATGACTTATACTCTGGTATATATATATTTATCATTTGTCAATCGGAAGAAAATTTATATTTTGGATCACATATGAAATGAGGATTTTAAATGTTACGAACGAGTTAGCTGGTTATTCATGTGTCTGTCATAAGGTCTTTCCTTATAATAAATAGAAATATATAATATACCAGTAAAAAAAGAAGAACAAGAACAGGATAAACTTAGGAACAAATTTCATGAATATTTTCGTTTTAGAAGGAGTCAATGTGTAGAAATCTTCAGTTATTTCCTAAAATTCATAAAGAATAAAACACATAAGAACTTAAACATTGAAAATATGACTTATTAGTTAAACAATTTAGTAGTGTCAATAGGGTCTTTAACATTTGATACATAGCATCACATCGTTTTTCATTTGACTTCATCTTCTAGCCAATATGGGGCAATGGTATGGAGCAATATCCGGTTATATTTTTTGATGAACTAAAATATTATTATTATGTTGATAACTCAAGCAAGGAAACAAACTAATGGGGCTATCTTCATTCTATAAATCATATCTCTAACTATGATGGAACCCACAAAGCAATAATATATTTTCTCAATCGATGGCTTCTCATCTCCAATCTTTGGTTCTGCTTGTTATGGTCGTTACTTTGGTCACATTGATTATCCCAACACATGCAGAGCTGACTCGTAATTTCTATAAGAGAGTTTGCCCCAAGTCATTGCCAGTTGTAAGGTCAATCGTTGAACAAGCCATTATTCGTGAACGACGCATTGGAGCATCCTTGCTTCGTCTGCATTTCCATGACTGCTTTGTTAATGTAAGTTACTACTGCATCAATCATTACCACTACTTGCTACTCAAAGAACACTTTGTACCAATTGAACCAGGCTACCCCTTATGTATCAAACTACTTTTTGCAATGATTACTTTCGATGCCTTATTATTATGTGCTTTTCAGAGAGGCAATAACAGTTGAACTTTAATTTTAATTAGTATTTGTCGAAAATCTCACAAACTTGGTTTAGATATTTTGTGTACACGTTAAGAAGCCAATTATCTTTAAAAGTTGAACTCTTGAGAAAATTAATAAGAGAAATGGTAATAATACATTTTTTTATATACACAGGCAAAATTTACTTAATAATAATAAAGAGTATGTTAAGAAGAGTGTGTCCAAAAATGCATTACTAACATTGTTAAATTATTGTAACTCACCAACAAAGTCCGGCACAGTTGATAGATAGTTGGGTCATTTAAGCATCCTAATAGGGGTTCGATTCCTGTTAGTATGTATAGAAAAAGCTTTATTAGGAGAGGTTGTACCCACGATCGCGTGATCTCTCCGCCTCGAGGGGATATCCTTGGAACAATTTCCAAAAAAAATAAATAAATTTATTGCAACTCTAACTAAAACCATTATATATTATATACAATTTTTTCTTCTTTCTGATATATTAATATGGTTCTTGTCAACTGCATATAATTAAAAGTAAAACAACATCAAAACAAAAGTAACATTTCAATTTTCATTGATTGATGTAAATTTATAGGTAGTAAATTCTTCTCAATCTCGTGCGCTACAAAATAATGGGAAAAAAGAGAGTAAGAGCCCAGCCCATCATATCATAAATGGTCCAAATACCAGAAGCAAGGAAAACATTGAAACAAAATCACATAATAAGATGTTACATTCTAGCATAGACTATAGTATAATAATTTAATGATTTGTTCAATCCTTGCAACAGGGTTGCGATGGATCAGTTCTGTTGGATGACACTAGTACCTTCACTGGCGAGAAGAATGCCCCACCAAATAAGAATTCACTAAGAGGTTTTGAAGTAGTTGATGAGATTAAAGCAGCAGTAGACAAAGCTTGCAAACGCTCTGTGGTATCATGTGCTGATATTTTAGCTATAGCAGCTCGTGATTCTATAGCCATAGTAAGTATTAAGTGAATGAATAATCCATTCCAGCTAGCAATTTTGTTATATATATGCCAAACTCTGAAAACTAACATATCATCCTCCTGTCAATAGTTGGGGGGTCCACAACTTAGCTACAAAGTATTATTAGGCAGAAGAGATGCAAGAAATGCAAGCCAGGATGCTGCAAACTCCAATCTTCCTCCACCATTTCTCAGCTTCTCACAGCTTCTTTCTAATTTCATTGCTCATGGATTGGACCTCAAAGACTTGGTAGCACTCTCTGGTGGCCACACTATTGGATTTGCCCAATGCTTTACCTTTAGGGACAGGATTTACAATGACACCAACATAGACCAAAGTTTTGCAGCCTCATTGCAAAATAAGTGCCCTCAAAGTAGTGGAGATGATAATTTAACACCATTTGATCCCACTCCTGCAACAGTTGACACTACTTACTACAAGGAATTGTTGCATAACAGGGGCCTCCTGCATTCAGATCAAGAGCTCTACAAGGGAAGTGGCAGTGAAAGTGACAGATTAGTAGAGCTATATAGCAGAAAACCATTTGCTTTTGCTAGAGACTTTAAAGCTTCCATGATCAAGATGGGTAACATGAAGCCTCTTACTGGGAATGAAGGAGAGATAAGACTTAATTGCAGAAAAGTTAATTAAAATTGCATCTTTTACAAGTCTGGACCACAATAAAAGGCATATATTGATGAAAGATTAAGACAATGCATCATGTCAATTTTAACTATCAAATGAATGTCCTATTTAATATTTCGATTGTTAGGATCAAGAATTATAGCTAGTATAGGTTCAAATGGTATGGAACCGTAAGTGGCAACATAAATGTTAGATGCTGAGTGCTTGTTACAATTTGTGTGTTTATGGCTGCATGCCCATATAGAGGGGGCTACTCTATTTATTTATATGATCATAAGGACTCTAAGCCTATCTTGATTTGACTATTATCTCTCAAACTGTGTACAAGAAAGTAACTATCCAGATGTAATCAAGGAACACATTATGGAACATCAGTCCTTCAAATTTCCATTGAATATACACATTAAATTTATTATCTTTAGAATGATCAATTGAACTTGAACTTAATAATTACAAAGAATAATATAACATTCTTGTCTGTTAGATTAAAACTAAGGGAAAAAGGTTTGTACTTTTAATAGAAATAAATTGTTTCCTTTTATTTTTAACACTATGTACTACAGGTAGTACATAGTTATAATATGAAAAGTTATTTTTTTCTCTCTCTTAAATCATTTCAACTGAAAAGGAAAGAGATTTTTTTTTTTCATATTATAATTATATACTACTCGTAGTACATAATGTAAAAAATTAAAAGGACACAACTTGTGTCCTTTAAAAATACACACACTTAACCCTAAAACTAATCACAAATTTAACCAAAAAAACTTAAATTTTTGGAAGAGTTAATTAGTGCCAGAACTTTTATTAGCAAATAGCACTCGGTGTTTAAATTTGTAGGGAAATTGATTCCTGACACTTTCAAATCATGGTAATTTATATGATGAATAACTGGTCCCTCGGAGCCATTCCACACCAACGGTGGAGGTATGAGTTCGAATGCCAAACCCCTCTCTTCAGCTGGAACTAACTAATTTGCCAGATATGTCTATGATAAATAATAATATAATATTTTCCTATTGTGAGATTCTCACCCATCAAATATGCTTGTAATATATAATACACGTGTGGCATATTTTGCCCAAGTGAATATAAGTCAGAGCATTCTGCATAGTAAAATCCCTGCAGTAGTGCCCATTGCCCAAGGTGTTATACATGTGGCGATATTTCAAAGACCAGAAAAAAAGCCCTACATTTACATTTACCCTTACTACCGCAATGTTGGTCACTAATGAACTATTCATCCGTGCCACAGTTGCAAGGTTCATGAAGCCAATGGACTATATCAATAAAAACATAAAGAACAAATGAAGCAACTACCAGAAAAAGCACAATCAGCGACAGAATAATTCTTTCGCAAAATAGTTAAGTTTCCTTGCAAAGATGGTTTGCGACGGAATTTGTGGAGAAAATATGGTTCATCGCTAAATAGTTCCTTGCAAGCTGTTGCGATCACGACAAGTATATCGCTTCTTTCAAATAATAAAAGTGGAAGTAAAATATAGTCCCAGAAGGATTAATGCACCAAATATTATTATAACTAGACCCCTTAATTTGAAAAACTATGTTTGGTTTAGGAAATAGATTTTTAATAAACATAAAAGTAATTAAAATTAAATGCAGTAAATATCAAGCAAATTCAAGAATAATTAAGAACGCAAGAAAAGATATGAGTAATTGATGTAGGGAAACTGTAGCCATGATGCACTTCACCTTTGATCCTCCTCTATAATTCTTAATTAATTCTTATAATTAATTAACTCAATAGTTCAGACAATTCATCTTTCTCAAATCAATCACTTAAACCCTAATGTCTTAATGTGTTTAACCATTTAAACCAATTAGAACCCTAATGTCCTAGTACTTGTAACGCCCGGCAACTTGCAAGGATTAACGACTGTCCCCACACACTAACACGAGACTTTTCAGCGTGCTTTATCCTCACTGGCACACTTCCCGGGAAAACTTCCCAGGAAGTCACCCATCCCAGAATTGCTCCAAGTCAAGCACGCTTAACTATGGAGTTCTTCCGTTCCGGGCTACCAAAAAGTAGATGCATCTTGTTAGTATAGGTAGTACCAATTAATTCTTATAAGTCATTCCCAACTGTACTGTCCCATACCAGTACAGTCTCTGGAATCCCTCTCTTTCGGGTGTTGATTCGATTCATTCATGTACCCCCGTCCCTAGAAGCCTGCCAGGAGCCGCTCCTTGTTCGTGCCCTTGCGCACGGGCGATCACTCCCCGCCCTCGTCAGCGCCCAGGATGTTACATGCCCACCAGCTTCCGCTTGGTTCGTCCTCGAACCACACCGTACTGGATGAGAGGCCTGCTCTGATACCACTTGTAACGCCCGGCAACTTGCAAGGATTAACGACTGTCCCCACACAGTAACACGAGACTTTTCAGCGTGCTTTATCCTCACTGACACACTTCCCGGGAAAACTTCCCAGGAAGTCACCCATCCCAGAATTGCTCCAAGTCAAGCACGCTTAACTATGGAGTTCTTCCGTTCCGGGCTACCAAAAAGTAGATGCATCTTGTTAGTATAGGTAGTACCAATTAATTCTTATAAGCCATTCCCAACTGTACTGGTAATCCTTCTTGAATCAAGCATTAAGTGGATGAATTAAAAAGTCTGCACTTTATACAAGCTTATGTCTAGATCATGCACAAATTGTTATTTTAACCTTGTCAGAATTAAAACCTCAATATGCCTATTGTGAGTTCTAACCCTCAAAGCCTTATAAAATTGATCAGATTTAATAAGGATATGGAAAACTCATTCAAGGTAAAATAAAACTAATTGAATTAATATAATTATAAAAATAATTTAGAAATAATAAAGGACTCCAATTGGATCCATGATCCTAACTACAAAGAAAAATTAGCCAGACATAACTGGCTTAAACAAATTAAAAGAATAAAAGGAATTCATAAGATGAAAAGAAAAGACGAAGAAGATGAAGAGAAAGAGTCAATTGTCTTCTGTAAGAACCCGCATCGTTAATTAAGGTATTTAATTAATTAATTATGCAAAATTAGGAAATGATTCCATAATTGACCCTAATAATTATTTATGAGGCTTAATAGTCGTAATAAGTGATTAAGAATGCTGAAAGTCACTTTTCGGAAGAAAAGTGCAGATACCGGTTCTGCTAGTCGGTATAAATGCGTACCAAAAAAGTATCCCGGAAAATTAATCTAAGTGCATGATAATTACTAGAATAATATGTAGGACTTGTAAAACGAGTTTCAAGTCCAGATATTGAGAACTGGTGCTGGAAACCGGTACTGGCTTGGAAAAGCGCGTACCGGAAAAGTGCTCAGAAAATTATAAGAAAAATATGATAAATCTTAGAAAACTATGTAGTTTCATAATCCAAAGTTTGGGATTAAAATACTAAAGCGTAGCAATTAAAGTTAATACTGTGTGTTTAAGTGGCTTGGACTATATATACCCTTTGTAAGGGCACAAAACCCTAGAAAACAGTTTCTCTACGTGAGTGTGTGAGGGTGGCTGATCAGCTTGGCTGACTTGTGGGGTTTCTTCTCCATTTTGGATCCAAGACACTTCCTTTCTTGATTTTCCTTCACACTTTCACTTGGGATACACTTGGTGAGGGTGAGAGCTAGCCTTGGGACTCTATTGCTGGTCTTTTCTGAGTTGAGAGAGCTGTTGTGTGTGAAGTTTTGAGGCTGACTTGGGTTGGTTGTGCGTGGAAGCCTTTGTTTTGGCATTGTGAGGTCCAAGAAGCTTCCTTTGTGTTGAAAGATCCAAGCTTGTTGATCCATTTCCGTGCACCTTGTTGAGTCAGTCTTGAGGGGCTGATTGTGAGCTCCAAAGAGCAGCCTCTTCTTCTGTTTTGGCCTTTGGTATGTATACCAACCTTTAATCATGAGTTTAATGCTTAAAAATGAATGCTTGATGCATGTTAAGGTTAAAATATGATAACTTGTTGTTGGGTGAGGCTTAACACATCTAGAAATGCATGATTAGGTGTTTAAAATCTGTAAAAAGGGAACCTTTTTGGGATATCTTCACGAAAATGCATTTTGTCGTGAGATATCCGGATATTTGTCGAACTGATATCCGGATATTGGATATCCGGATACGTGGTTTTGGGATATCCGGATATTAGATATCCCGATATGTGAATCTGTATATCCGGATATTGCATATCCGGATATGGACAGCGAGATATCCAGATATTCTGGGATTTCGCAGAACAGCAGTTGTGCTGTGTGTACAGTAGGCTATTGGGGGTTTATGGACCCTAGTTTGATGAAGTTGAACTTCTGTATTTAATGGATTAAGCCAGAATCATGGGATTAAGGGCTTGTGGCTTTGTTAGAAGCTTTAAGACTTGAAAACGTAATGAAAAGGCGTTGTCTTAATATTGTTTGCTTGTGGTGCATGTTGTTGATGTATTGTTGGTCCATAACAGATTGTGAATCTACTGTGTTTGGATATTGAGCTGTGGACTCTTGGCTTTTGGAGTTAGCTTGCAAGGTAAGCTTTCGTGTCCTCGGTTTAGCCATGTTGTGGTTCCACCATGTCCCATGGGGGTATGGTTTATGCATGATGTGTACATGCTTTTGAATATTTGATATGTTGATTGAACTTTACATGTAATGGCTTTTAATATGCATGTGTTGTTTCATCTTGACGGGAAGCCTGAGTATGTAGCGCCATACAAGACGGTGTACCGGGGTGAATGCAAGTGGTACTTGCACGGTGTGTAGGTGATAAACGTATACCTGCACTGTCTCTGGCCAGTAGATTAGTATTGACACATATGACATGATTATCTGCTGCATTGCATTGTTTTTGAAATGATAAATGATAAACTGTTTTGAACTTATATTGCACATGTAAGTGAGCTTGGGGTGGAAGATCATTGAGGACTCACTGACTTACTGAGATTTCTAGATTAGAGATCTTACCCCACGTTTGGGGAATGCTTATTTCAGGATCATGTAGTATGGGTACTGATGCCTCAGGC